ATTTGGGTTATAATAGAAAACGCGTCACTCGAATGACGGTACGTCTTAACCTAAATCGGGGAGTATCTTATAATCGAGAACGATTAGAAACATTAAATCGGTATACAAAATTTTTTAGACTACGTGGAAATAACATATATGGTTCTCAAGTGACGATACAAATGCAACCTATAAGTGACTTGAATTTTGCGATCTACCCATCACTCAAACGACTTGAGTTTTATGATCAACCCATCACTCGAATGACTTGAGTTTTATGATCAACCCATCACTCGAATGACTTGAGTTTTATAATCAACCCATCACTCGAATGACTTGAATTTTGCGATCTACACGTCATAGCTGAGGGGGAATAACCTAGACTAAGTGGAAATAACATAATTATGTTATTTCCACTCCATCCTTGCTGGCTCTGAAAAGTTAGGGTTGATATCTTTGGTTAAGGCAAATGTGGCACATGAAGCAAACATAGGGTGAAGTGCTCTTTGAAACTTTCTTTCACAATAACGAGGCAATCATCCAGTAAATCTTGGCTGTCAAATGGTTGCATTGTAAAAATAATTGTTATGTGAAGGTGCTTAGAAAAAGCAGTGACAAGCTGTTTTTTGGTTTCTATGAGATCTGTAAGGTGTCCAATTGAGCCCTTGAGATTTTTAATGTGTTCATTGAGAACATCTTTAAGGGTGTATGTGGCTGAGAGGTAGTCAAATTTGGCTTGGTGAATAATGAGAAGGGGATTGTCCTGGTTCTGAACATTTTCCCTAACAACGAATGCATCCCCCCCATGAGGCAGATGTACCATTGACAATCACATTCTCTCCTTCCAGCCAGTTTATAGGCCATCTGCTTTCTCTGGATGTCAACTTCACACAAGGAAATTGCTCTTTGGCCATGCAGATGGAAAGCTTTTTCAGTCTTACTTCATGACTCTTCATCTTTTGAGTTCCATGGGCACCACAATACAAGTCCCCCAGATAAACACTTTGCTTTCCATGTCTAATCAGGAGATTGGTGCGTAATGTGTCATGATATATGATATGCAATGAAAAGCTCCCATCCTTGCCAGCACATATTATTTTGCACTGTAAATGTCTCCTCGAGCTTGACATCTACAATTTTTAGAATGTCATTGTAGAGACAGATAAAAAAGAAAGGCATTGTAATGGTAAATTCAGTGCCAATATTATTACAGGGGTTGAGGATAATATGTGCATCATGCTCCAAATTTTTGATGGTAGCACTTGGATCAGACAGGTCCAGGCATGTCTCATGCTTGACAGGAATTGCATTGATGCAGTGAAAAAGAATCTCCATGGCCATTACCTGATTATGGCTGACAGTTTGGTAGATCTTGTAATGGGTTTGGAGAACAGACTTGATATTCCCAAAAATAGTGTTAAAATGTTGCTCATGAATGCTATGAAAGAAATTTTCTCCACTGCCTGTGAGCTCAAAACATTCTTGAAATAAAAGTTCAAGTGTGTGAGGCAATCCTCCAGTATCTTCTAAGAGTTGAAGAAATGGTTGACACAGCATCCATTCATATATATTGCTACTGGCAAGTTTTCTTGCACCAAATCTCTCTGAATAATGATCCACAATCTTGATCATTTCTTGGAATAAGAGTTGTGGACACAGGACAAAATCAAATAAGACTCTTGATGTTTCTTTGGCTGCTATAACAACTTGGGGTGCCATCCCTGAGAGGAATGTTTGGACAAAGGTGGTAGTAGGTAGACCATACAAGAATGGTGCAAGATTGTTGATCATGTTCTTAAAAAGATCTTTAGCCAGCTTCCTATTATTAACAATTTCTCTGTCCCACTGGTCGACAAGCTGAAACTCATCAACATGGAGAAAAACGAAAAGCTTATGGGCAGTTTTGAGGCTTAGCTTGTCCCGAATGCTTTCAAAAACATTGGTGATTTTGAACATATCCACATATCTCATGACTCAATCACAAAACATTACAAATTGCATATCGTATTTGCCTTTGATAAAGAAAACATAAGTGATCCATAACCCAATGATGATTGTTGCAGATAGATCCATGTCATATGTGTCAAGCTGGATTCCATTACCAAAGTCCATATGAATGTATTCAAAATGCACCATCAGTTTTTGCCAATGAGGGGGGACCCAAACTTCTTTAATGCATTTGAATAGTTCCTGGCCCATCTGAGTTTTACCTGCACAAAATTTAGAAATGGATGAATAAACTTGAAAGAATCAGCTCGGTAACTATATGAATACCAACTGATTCCAGGTGCTCCAGCACAGAAGGGAAAGGAAAAATATGGCTTAGACATTGAGTTTCTAAAGTTGTTGTTCACGTTTCTCTCAACGATACCAACTAAATTACTGAGGTTGTGACCCTGCAGTGGCATAAAATCTTCTTTTACAGCCATAGAGAGATGATGGGCATCTTGTATGACAATCTCGATAACATCATTGACTAGCATTTTCAAGACAAATTAGGGGGTACACCATGCATACAGATGATAATAATCAATGCATTTATACCTGTTTTAACTTTGTAGGATTAAAGAAAGGAAAAATGATGGATGGATGAGTCGAAGCGAGACGCAGGAAGGCAGTGGTCAATTGAATGTAGAATGATATCTTTTCAATGCTCTATCTATGCCCCAACACCAGGTCACAAGGTCGTTACCTGTGGTGGCTGAAGCTGCTGTGATGCATAATGTGGTAAAATGACACCAGTTAGTCAAGTCACAGACAGTAAAGGGATGATAGATACAATTTTTATGCTCTACTATGCTGAGTCATGAACTCATTACCTGATGGTAGGAGTGTTCTGAGAGCAGTGGTAATTTCCTTGCAACTTTCCACAAAATATTCCAAGCGTTCAGATTCTGTCTTCTTCAGAAGGCAGCCTCTGATCACGCCGCGTTCCTCTTCATCACTGAAAAGGTCATTTAGCATATATTTTGCTTTATCCCAAGACATTGGTAATTTTTTTCTGTGCACATGGTGATGTATCATATACCTGATAGAGTTCAATGATTCGATATGCGAATCAATCAATAATCAGATATAATATACAGTTTCGATATGCACACGCTATTACTATATGCAAGAAACCAGTGCGCATACACTATGTTGCGAAAAACTGCCCTTTGAAAAATAATTTTATTTTTGCAAATACAGTCAGACCTCTCTAAATGCAACCTCTCTTAATGCAACTTTTCTCTAAATGCACAGCAATTGCTCAGTCCCAT